TGTAACCAGCCCCCCCTGTTAAATGAAATTTTGGCTATGCACAGTTTGAGCATGATAGCCTACTTTTAGATGACTAAGTGAAATGCTCTGATTAAAAACAGCTCATTTTCATGCTTATTTAGTTGCTTAAATAGTAGTTATTAAAGAAGAAACATTGGATGGTTATCAGTTCTAGCCGATTCTGAAGGTTTCAACATCGGTATCGGAAAAGTGGTATCGTGCCATCTCTAATTAAATGAACACTTTCATCAAAACACCCACTTCTGGAACTGTGATTGTTCAAGATTCTCACAGCACACGGTAAAAAAAACACTGTGATTGGTTAAAGGGTTAATTTCCATATTGCAGCCATGTGTGGTATCAATATTGCAAAGACTAATACAACAAACAATATATCACACAGCCCTGTAAACCTAAGCAGAGGATGTCCAATTGGTGAAAGTGAGAACTGCTGATCAAATTTGGCTTAGTTTAAAATCACCTTTTGAAATTTCTATGATTTACATAGCAACAACAGCTGGGTTTCCATCCAGCTGTCAAATTCAAATTAAGCGAATAACTGAAATGGGAAATAAAGAACTATAAACTCGAGCAACTTCTTGTTCTTCTTGCTGTTTTCTTTGATTTCATGGTTTACATACAGAATGCACTAGCAAATACAATGGCTCAGGAAATGGCCATTAATCAGCTGGACTTTATGCCTGTTTATCCTCTCATATGATTTATCTTATTACTGTTGTCAGAAAACCTTGTATCTCCAAAATGGTAACTTTACAGGAGAAGGAAAAACCTTTTTATTCTTCATGATATTTACACACACGTAAAAGGCGATATGTTTCTTTCTTTGATAATATAAAGGTCCTTATTGGTTTCTTTGTCAGCTCACTGATACCTGCCACCTTCTGTCATGTTTCACAGATACGGCCAGACAAACACAGAAACAGTTAAACGATTACATGACTTAATTCTACTCACATTTACATGATTTATTCATCATGTAAATGTTTTTGTGTATTGCTTACAAAATTTTACACCTGCTGTTACCATCAAGTCTTTTTATTCCATCCCTCAATATACACATAAAAAAATACATGACTGGAAATCCAGCTAATGACTCAAACTTTCCAGCTTTGATACTTTTCACACCAGAAATGAAAAGCCCTGCTAATCTGCAGTCAAATTAAGCAGCACCTTCTTGCATAACAACATACCGTATCAGCAGCTCTGATTCTGATTCAGGTCTGCAGTACGCAAGTGGCTTTTCCTTAGAAACAAACAAGCGGAGCACAAAACCTGCTCCAGCGAGTCACATCTGCACCCCAGGCAGTGTGAAACCAGCTTTACGCACATACGCCCTCCATATGCTCTTCTCAGGAACAGACAGGTGTAGACGTCTTCCAACCCAACAATGACAAAACAAACACGCAGCACTGTGTTTATCAGCCTGTTCTCATTTTCAGTGGGACAATAGCGGAATATGTTAGATTAGTACGTTACAGTTCGAATCACGGTAAACGCTTCAGGGCTGTCTGAGTGTTTTTCCTTTAAAATCTCTAATGAGAGATGCGGCGGGGAATATAGGACAAAGGTGCTGCGCGTAAAAACACTGATTGGTTAAAGACAATGCTGGACAGTGATGACGTACACCCTAAAAACTGAAAAGGTACTTCAAGCGTTCTTCAGCAGAGGCAGTACTGATTCATGGATCATTCTATTGAACTGGTTCAAAATTAGAGTTCAAAACTCATTTTAGACTTTTGACTGATGTGGATCTTAGACTAAACTCTTCTTGCTTTGAGCGACTCTTTACCTTAGTTTTGTTTATTTTAATAAAACAACTGGTTGAACAGACCAATTTGGCACTAATTAAACAATCATATCACTGCCGAAATTTACAGTTCATTTTGAGCAGAACTCAAAAACACCAGACCAGGTGTTTTACTCCTTTACTGTCCTGTTGTGGCTCCAGAGCAGAATTAGATTTGTAGGTAAAAATAAAATAATCCTCCTTTACAGTAAAATAAAGCTCTGCTGACCGTTCAACACAGTTTAACAATAAAAGGTCTTAAACACTGGAGTTAATGTAGAACTGCTAATTCACCCTGGTGCGCAGACTGCTGGTCACCATAGCAATAACACCAGTCTCGCCTAGCTAGTAGCTAACAAAATAGAAAAGAGAAAGATTTAAGACGAACATCGATAATTTAAAGACGAATGGACTTATTTGCATTTATAATCACTCCAGCTGGTTTCCTGATACGTTTAATCTGCAACGAGAAACTGTCAAACGGTAAAAGGTGGTGAAGCTGAAGTCAGCTTCACATTCAAATTGTCCCGTTCCACCTTAAACAGTGCCGCAGTTACATTCTGGCACCTTATGCACCATTTAAGGTGGAACGGGAAAATTCCATCAGGAAGCTGGCGAATGAGAAGTGACTTCAGCCTCGTATAAAAGTCAAACATTGAGAGACGTTTTACAAGAAACTGTTCTACTTTTGAGGAAAAGTTTCCTGCTGGAGATGCGAGAAAAGTGGCTACAGCTGAGTTAAAGCTTAAAGCAGAATAAAGTAAGTCTGTGTTTACTATTACATTATATTTTTTAGCCTATACTAGTACATTAACACATACTGAGACATATTTACAGCCAAGATGGTAAAATGGACATAAAAAGTTGTGGCTCCCAAGGTGGTATAATTTTTGTTGAAAGGACAAAATGGCTTTTCTTAATATTTGGGTTGCTGACCCCTGCGCTGGATAGTCTACGTCATTGCCGAAAAAATGGTAATTTGGTAATTCTTCATGTTTCCTACTGGTTTTCTGACTTTGGGACACATTTACTTCAAAACAATGGAATCTAACTGCTCACCATGTGGCCATGAGGGGCAGGGATGCAGCCTCACTTCCCACTCTAAAATGCAGAGGTGTGGCTAAAAATAAGGCTCCGCCTACCGACTAAAATTCTGTGTGTTTCGGTACTGACATGAAAACACAGGACAACATTTAATAACAGACAATTAAATAACAGACAATATACTGTGCAGATCTACAGTGTAGTCATCAAGAATGAGACATTCAGTAGTTGACCTGATGAAAGCACATAAAGGATTTGACCACTACAACTGACCCGAAACAGCTCATAGCACTTACAATACACTTTCAACACTTAATGAGTCTGCTCTCAAGAAAACAGAGGCCCATAGAGAGAGAGAGAGAGAGAGAGAGAGAGAGAGAGAGAGGGAGAGAGAGAGAGAGAGAGAGAGAGAGGGGGAGAGAGAGAGAGAGAGAGAGAGAGAGAGAGAGTGAGAGAGAGAGAGAGGGAGAGAGAGAGAGAGTGACAGTTAATTAAAGACCACAGAAGGACCACTATGATGAGCTATACATAGAGTGAACTGTGAGACGGACAGATGGCAGGAGAGGCTGCAAAAAGCACTGTGTGGACCACCCTGTCTCTGCTGTCTTAGACACGTCCTTAACGATGTGTCCTTGGTAACGAGCTCATGTTTAATCAATCGTATTTTATAGTTGCAAAGTATAATATACTTACCTGCAAATATGAGCACTGACACAATTTACACTTGAACTGCTCTACATTTGAAAGGAGACTTTGTCAGAATCTGTGAAATCAGATCTTCTACCACTTGAACAAGCCATTTTATAACACCAGAGGAGGTTTTGTAACAAATGCAAAAATAAGCTTAACCCTTGTTGTGTTGATGTGTTTGTTACTCAGTGGTCTGGTGGACCCACCACACTGTTTTTATAAATCAATACAGCCATAACAATTCATGTAGAAATACCAGATGTTTAAAATATCACAAGTGTCCAGTATAGGGAACTCATTTAGCAGCTGTAGCCAGTCAGCAGCCTGTCCATGTTGTCCACCCTCACACACACACACACACACACACACACAGCAGGCCATGTAGGAGGAGAACAGAGTGAAGGACACAGCACCTCCACACTTTTACTCCCCACAGGTTCACCCAACACCACGTGTCATATAAATGTGTGGGGGGTGAACAGAGTGAAGACACTGAAAATGGGTTATTTTATATGTTCTTCACAGAAAATGAGCAAAGGACAAGAAATCTGGGGTTGAAATAATAATAAATTGCATCATTTTTTTCGGTAACACTTTCTATGAATGTCACCTTTGTAAGCATCTGTAAACATATTCTTAACATGTTACATAATACATTCCTAAGACATTATAAACATAGCTATAAATATTTATAAAAATGCATTATACATTATAGCCATGTTTATTGTGCATTATGAATTGTTAACATAATACATTATAAGTACTGATCATAACAAATTATAAGAGCTCATAAGTTGTATTTGTCCGCTCTAAGTAAAGTGAAGCGTACTGTACTAAAGCCTCCTCCAGTGTTAAGAATGAGGCTTCAAGTTGAAGTATTTACTGAAGGATTTACTGAAACACTAAAACATTCACAGTAAAGCTCATTACAGGCTTCAAATGTCAGAGTTTAAACTAGAGCTGCCATCAGTGTTTTACCCAATGTGGGAAAGGTAATGTACACCACCGTTAGCTTGGTATTTGTCTTTGCTTTACACTCTCCAAGCTGGGACTGACTTCTTTGGCACTGACATTATAACATGTTATTAACACTATTTATAATGCATTATATTAACAATTCATAATGTATAATAAACATGGCTATAAAGTGTAGTTCAGTGCAATTCATTTTTATAAATATTTATAACCATGTTTATAATGCCTTATGAATACATTATAACATGTTATAAATGTGTTTATAGATGCTTACAAAGGTGACATTCATAGAAAGTGTTACCATTTTTTCTTTTGGCAAACGCACACGAGGCTTAAACCAAAAAGATAAGTCTGCTATAAAATTGTATAACTGGTAAATGATGGCACTGACATATCGTTACCTGCTCCAGTTCTTGTGCCACCTCTGATGTGCAGATGTGTTTCAGTTTTACGTTAAGCTTTCTGTTTGAGTGCGTGCTCCTACCTCTTTAGGCGAGAGTATAGAGATGTAGTCTTCGTAGATCACGCGCGCCTTCTCCTCGATGGAGCTCTTGTTGATCTCCTTCTTCAGGTCCTCGCAGGCCAGCCAGAAGAGCATGTTCTCCTCGCTGTACTCCGTCCGCAGAAACTCGCGAAACACGTTCCGCCCCGCTGGGTTCTTCATCAGCTTATCGAAAGACTGAGCCCACTGCTTCATCTCCTCCACCGTCGGTTTGGTGCTGAGAGAGAGAGACAGAGACAGAGAGGACAAGAGAGGACAAGAGTTTTATTATTCAGTAATTACTATAAATTATTCTGTAAGTACTATGAATTATATTGCAGCTACCACGAAAATAATATCACTGTTGTCGGACAAAAACCTTGTATCTCCAAATGCCAACTTTACAGGAAAAGGAAAAAACCTACTTTACTTTTAATGTAAGTCAATGGAACCAGACAGTTTTCCAAGCCATTTTTGGCCATTTCTGTTGGTCCATTCCTCATGAAATTTACAATGTAAAGGGCAACAGCTACTTTCAAATTAGGTCAAAAACGACAAAAGTGGAGATACGAGGTTTTCTTCCAACAACAGCGATATGCGAGTTGTGTAGTTGTGAGACTGATATGGGCTCTAGGGCTACAACAATATGCTGACAATGTCAACAACACTGATTTTGAAAAAAGTCTCAATGTGGATTTTTACTTTGGATATTTATGAATTGAAAAGCACTCTAATAATGCTCTATTACGTTCATATCTAGAATGAAACACAGGGTTATTTACACAGACGAGACTCTGAATGATAAAAGGGAGGAAAGCAAAGAAAGCATAATATACTAATAATAGATTAGTCAAAATATTCCAATAAGAGTCCATAGGTTAGGACAGTTGAAGCCCTAGAGGGCCCACTTGTAGGTCCTGGCAGTTGAAGGGGTTAACATCTTCATGCCTCTTGAGTGCAAGGAGGTGAGTACAAGCTCAGCATGCTTGAGTCTGGCATGTGACATTCACATTGCACATACACTGTTAGAGATGTTTCATTCATCAAGGTACAAACACTGTAAGTGTTCCCACAAAGGTACAACAGTGGTTTTAAGGTCTGATTGTGTACCTTAAATAAGTTTGTCCAGGTGAAAAGTTCGTATTTGTACCTTTTCATAACTGAATGATTTAAAACAGAACAATAAAATAAAAAGCCTGGAGGCGAGACGGGGTGTGTGGAGTCAGTACAGCTTAGAACATATAATTTCAGTAGATTGTGGAACAATTATGTCCCCTGACTAAAAGTACTGAGATACAAGCTTGAGGGAGCCACCCCAGTGACAAGAGGGGCACTGCCCCAGTGACGGTACTACCTTTATTTCTGAGAGTGTATAATTAGAGACGGTACAATACCACTTCTTCATTTCTGAGACCGATACTGACATTGAAATCTTCAGTACTGACTGATAGTCCAATATTTTTTCTTTAAAAACTATAACACTTTAGCTTTGTTACAGGATTGAATCAGACTGATATCCAATCTAGCATTTTCTGCTGATATTAGCCCAAGACTGATACCTGGTATTGGATCAGTGCCATCTCTACAAATAATAGTGACATCATCAAAAGCATGAATAAAACACAACTGAAACCTCTGTGTTTCGTCAGCCTGCTGCTGCTGTTCCTGAACAAGCTCAGGCATGCAGCTGTGTTCCTACCTAAAGCGGCTTTTGTTTAGAAATAAAAACAAACAAAAAAAAAAAATAATAATATAAAATTAAGCTGAGCACTAAAGTCAGGCTCTGCAGCACAGTTTGTTCACTTGCCCTTTAGGAACAACACAAATATCTAAGGGAAAACTGAGTGCAACAGCTGTAGCTGCTACATCACTGAACACAACAGTGCAACAGTAATGGGTCAAATCAGAAGAAACAGCAGCAGGAAGTATGACCGCTCATGCCATCACACCACGTAGTCATGCTTAACGAGAACATGATTTATAACCACTGACACCATTTCTAGCTTGAGCATAATGTTCTGTCTTTAAATCACTGGATCGATCGCAATTCTGATTGTATTACATCAAACAAAAGAAGCAATATTTATCGAGTTAAAGAGGGAAACTTCAGCGATCTGTGTTGCAACTATACCGCAAATAATGCGAGACAGGTAAGGACACTTGTGTTGTATTTGAATACTGCTGCTACCCCTAGAATAAACTGATGCAGCAGAATTATGCATGACTCATGCTAAATCGCCTCTTATTTTCACTTCATTTCATGTTATTTCATATTATTTATATACGTAACATTTTTTAAATAATTTAAAATGCCAGCTTGGCTCTTAAAAGAGCAAAAATTGTTATTTATATTACAACTTTGGCTAATAAAAAGCGGTATCGATGTGCTATTTTGTTTCATGTGTTCACTCAGCCCATGCAGGGTGAGCTAAAAAATCATTATATTATAAGCATTATAATGTAAATAAGAAATGTTATTAAAATGCTTATGGGTCATTCTACAGAAACGTCCACTGTTCTGTCTCTCCATAGGAGTCAATGGTGTTACCGATCGCGATTGGTGTTACACATAAGAAAGGGAACACCAGAGACATTTTAAATGAAAAATGCATTTTACAAAGTGGCTGCTGCAGAGCATCAAACCACATGTTGTCAATCATGGAATATCCACTAAAATATGTAATTTAATCCATTTGTATTCTATTTTTTCCCAATTACCTCAGAATAAAGTCGGTCACACCAGTGACTTCAGCTAAAAGCTTCATATGAAATCATGAGCTAAATGAGAAAATCCCTGATAACTGAAAGACACAGTGGACTCACCATGTGCTTTTCTTCATAGATCCTCAGAAAATAGGTAAAAGGAAGTCGAGTGATGTCATCAGTGTGACTTTTATTTCAAAATAAGAGATTTTTTGTTACGTGGTAACACCAGTGACACGACTCACTGGGGACCACAACTTTCATTATATATTTTGTAATATTTATTTGGCATTTGTTTTCTTTATGTCATTTAATTCATATATTTCATAGTCATGCATAGATTATTGCAGTTAAAATTGCAGAAAAACCTCAAAATATGGCCTCAGCCTTTACACATGACTGTGAGGACGAGCTCTTCTGTGGTGCTTGGAATTCTAGATAATTGACCTAAAAACCAATATTGCTAAATTGAGACTCAAGAAGGTGGAATTGTAAAAATAACATTGTTTTATTTTAAAAGGTAAATAAATTGTAACCCTAACGTTTTTTTTAAGTGTAATATATCTGTAAACGCTAGGGACACAAAAGTGGATGTTTCTGTAGAACGACCCTTTTACATGTTTTTTTAAAATATCTAGTTGTATTCAAATTACGTTACGTTTGATTTTCTAAGTGAAAATAAAACATTCTCTAGAGGAAATAAACTTAAATATGCTACTTCTTACGCAAATTTTAATGCGCAATTTCTATTTATTTTCTGAACTTAACGGTCATATTTTATGTCTTTTCCCTCCAGTATGTTAAATTCAGCAATTAAACAGGCATTAAAATGTGCAAAAGTGTGATCTTTGTAGATCAGGAGTGCTCAATCCTGGTCCTGGAGATCTGCCACCCTGGAGAGTTCAGATCCAACACACCTGGCTCTTCTATTCAGATGCTCCTGAAGGCCTTGATTAACTGGATCAGGTGTGTTTGATTAGAGGAAGAACTAAACTCTGCAGGGTGGCAGATCTCCAGGACCAGGACAGGGCAGCCCTGCTGTAGACGGTGTTTTAACTTATTTTCATTAAAAAAATCAACAAAACATGTCATTTGACCAGGTGTGGACAAACCTTTGCATACGACTGTATACATGCTGACAGAGTATCAGACTATAAAATGCACCTGGACTTATTTTAATGCTCAAGGTAGAAAAAGCTTAAATCTCTTTGTTTACAAAAGAGTTTTGTGCATGTTTATACATGAGTGAGTGTGTAAAAGTGTGTGCGTGTGAACGTGCGATCTCACCAAGCTTCACAGTTTGGTATGGTCTCCAGCTTTGTCTCCGGGAGTTTCATCCTACCACGGTTCTCATCTTCTCTCCTAACAGTGAGACTGGAAGGTGGTAAAATGGCATTGAGAAATAACAGTTGTGCCGGAACCAACAGGGCCTGGCCGAACACACATGTACACACACACATATGTATATATATATATATATATATATATATATATATATATATATATATATATATATATACATATATACATATATCGCTGCTGTTGGGACAAAACCTTGTATCTCCATTTTTGTCATTTTTCAGTTTTTGACATAATTTGAAAATGCCTGTTGTCCTTTACATTGTGTGTTAATTTCATGATGAATGGACCAAAAGAAACGACCCAGAATGACCTGCAAAAATTCTGGTTCCATTGACTTACATTAAAAGCTAAGTAGGTTTTTTCCTTCTCCTGTAAAGTTACCATTTTGGAGATATGAGGTTTTGTTAAAACAGCAGCGATGTATATATATATATATATATATACATACATATATATATATATATATATATATTTCAAAAACTAAATATAACATCATTTTTTTCAGTATTTGCGTCCACTCCCAAGTCTCTCCAAGGAGACTTGCTTTCAGTGTTTCAAAGAAATCTGCAGAGATATTTGTCCACTCCTCTAAAGTTCAGTCTTAGACATTGTTTGGTTTTCTGCTTCTCATGATTTAAAATCCCAAGCACATTCACTGATGTTGAAGTCTGGACTCTGAGGTGGTCAGTCTATTGTTCTGAGATCATCAGCAGCTCTCTGCAGTTTTCTTTTTTGTCTATTTCCTTTTCTCACTAATGGCTTCTTGACAGCTACACATCCTGTCAGACCCACAGCGCTGAGTCATCTTCTCACAGTGGAAGGATGGACAGAAACACCTGTGGACGTTTTCAGATCTGAAGCAGCTTGATTTTCTCCTCTCTCTCAAAGATGAAAGCTTTAAGGGTTCTTTTTTACTGTTTATGGTGACAGTTTTGGTGTCTACCAGGTCCTTAATGGTTGATATATGATGTTTTTGAAATGTATAACTTGCACTAAATGGCCTTCCTGACTGGAAATTAAATAAATAAAATGTGGTCTCTGACTTCTATGCAGAAGTACTGCATAGTACTGTACACACACACTCATACACGTACATGCAAAGAAACAAACACTCTCAACATACTCCTCAGTTCCTTAGTGTTAAACACACACTCATGCAATTTATCACACCTAGAGGTGAAAGTGGTCAAAGTCATGCTGGTCAGTGTGGTCTGCAGGAAGCCTGAAAGGCTGGCTACTGTAATCAGTTTTCGTGAGCAATGGCTGATTTTCCTGTGCTGCTGACCACAGAAGCAGCCTAAAGCATCTGAGGGCCTGGCTATGAGCTAGCATGGCTCACCTCAAAACCTCAGGTCAGGCTGCACCATGTGACTGAGTGCTGCAAACGCTTGTCTGTGGTCTACAGTTTACACTTTCTAAAGACCTGTGTGCAGGTAGGCCAAAATGCGAGACACTAGTGCTGACCTGGAGAGCATTTTACAGCAATTATACAATAATATTAATAACATTTATTTCACAATTAACCAAAATATTTCAGTTTTTGATTTATAACAAACAGTTATACATTTATTCATTAACAATGGACCCAGAGATGCCAACAGACATGTTTTCGGGCAGTTTCACTGGTTTACTGAATGGACAGCCAAGTGCATTCCACTACTAACTTAGCCGTCTGAGTGGGCCTGACGTAAATTTTGAAACACTTGGAAAATTCATTACTAATAGTGATTAATGATTAATGGGAATTAATCATCAGTTCTGTAACTGATGATTAATTACCACATCAATATTAGTGCTTAATTAGCTATCTTGCCTCCTAGCTGTCAATACTTAGGCCCAATCCCATTTCACCCCTCGCATCTACCACTCAGCCCTTAGCCCTCTGTTTTGCATGTTCACGTCTAGGGGTAGGGTGTCCTGATTTTAGTTGAGATAGAGGGGTAGGGCGAAGTGTTAGGGATACATGGCCTCCAAATGAAGGTTTTTCAGAGGCGCATCCCAAATGGAGAAAAACCGGCAAGATGGCTGCGCGAGCGACCGAAGAAACCCACAAATGTGAGAATTTTCTGTGTTATAAAATTACGAAAACCACTGTATTATCTTAGTTTAATGTTGTTTCAATGTATTATGGTTGTTTTCTTCTTGCTAATGTCTCAGCGAGCTAGCTAACGTTCCCGTTTGACCTTAAATAGTCCAGCATTTCTGATGCCTGAAGCGCCAGAATGTAACTGCTGCTCCATTTAAGGTGGAATGGGAAAATTCGAACAAGAAGCTGGTGAATATCTGACTTCAGCTTCATATCACTGAAGAATTAGGGGTGGGTGATAATAAATACTTATTGCATCCTCCCTCTTTGAAGGCATATGATGCCCTAAATGTAAAGCCCAGCAGTGAGGAGCTGAACTTTATCCTCCTCTGCTGTCACCGCAGACGGGCAGGGTCGCCTACAGAGCAGCGCTAGTAGCTGTTAATGAAGTGATGCTCTTTTTATTTGAGGGTCCCATTTTGTAGGGGAAGATTTCAACCACTACCCTGTAACTCAGTTCCAAGGGGCAAGGTGACACTTGAAAACAAGGGGTAGGGGTAAAAAGAAATGGGGTTTGGCCTTAGTAGCTCCCAAATGACAACAAACACAGCTCGAGCTCAACTAAACAAACATCACTCACTGCTGCCCCCTAACGGTAAAAATTAGAATTTAGAAATGTTGCAGTTTTTGTGAGAAACGTCTGAATGCAGAGCTGCAGATTTACACCTGCAGTTTCACTCCAGTGGTTTCAGGCCAGTGGGACGCATGTGCAGTAGGACAGCGTGATTGTGCCATGTAAACAAAGTCCTTATATGAAAGTTGAGCGTTATGCGCATCACGTTTTTAATTTATAAGCTAAAATACATTACACAATACAATACATTGTGTTACAATACATTAAAACTTGCTATGAAAAACCATGCGCTGAATGCTGCTGCTAGAGTGAAACTGCTGGCGTGAAACTGTGGCTGTGCGGCTCCGCAGACAGATATTATTGGTTTTTGAACCATGATGTGTCTCAATAAATGTGTTTCCAGCTATTTCTATTTACCTGTATTAATTAGCCTCAACTCAAAATGCACCCAACTGTGGAAAATCACTGTGATCAATTATGTAATAAGTTATAACAATGTTTTATACTAATGCTAGATTTACTGATGTTCATGACTTACAGGCTAATCGGCTAAACCGTTTAGCTAGCCTGTTTATCATTGGCCCACGGTGGCTAAACGAGCGACTGAGGACCTGCTCAGCATCTTCACCTGAATCTCATTCAGTCAAAAGTACAGCCAAACTACAGTCAAACAAACTGAATGTGTATTTGGTTATTACTATTTGTTTAAATGCTGTTTACTATTTTAATATCTTTCAGGCATTTGAATAGCCTAATATCATATTCATTGCTAAGTAATTGACATTTTTTCCTGGTTTTATGGTTTAAAATGTTAGGCTGGAAGAGCGGTCTAGAGTAGCTAAATGCCGTATAGAGAAAAAGAGTGAGAGAGAGAGAGAGAGTGAGAGAGAAAGAGAGTAACTGAGGTGTAGGAGTGGGAATATGGCAGCCGTCTCCCACAGGGCTCTTGGTAAAATGAGAGCAATCTTAATCACACATGCTCTTCAGGTTCACAGCAGACTTGAATTACAAAGTGGAGCAGACACATTCACACAGTGTTAGTGTGTGGGTGCATCTGATCAACACACGCACACACACACACACACACACACACACACACACACACACACACACGTTTGTCTTGCTATACATATGAGGACGTCCATAGGTTTCTAGAGATTTTTGTGTTCCTGTAGCTAAGTAATACTACACCTAAACCTAAACCTAACCTCAGTATCCAAAAGGAAATATTTCTGCTCTTTTAGTTTTCAAATAAAAAAAAAAAATAATAATTATGGTGAAAACAACACATGCTTAAGTGAGGACCAGCAAAATGTCCTCACTTAAGCAAAAATGTCATGTAGTCCTATCATAGTGAGGACATGGGGTCCTCGCAAGTATAGCAACACAAGAACACACACACACACACACACACACCTCAAACCCTCAGTCAAACACATAAGAGAAAGACTGATCAGAGCTAAAATCAGAGCCAAAGAGGGACGTCACTGAATGTTCTATGAGAGAGAAACAGAGCTTGTTTACACACGCGTTTCGTGTCCGGAATGTATCTGCACTCTTAAAAATGGAAGTACAGGAGAACCACTTTTTGGTTCCCTAAAGGACTTTCTAACGGGCAGTTCTTTGGGGAAATGAGATGTGTGAGTGTAAAGAACCTTCATAAAGTTGAATGAACTTTCACATAATTAAAAGTTCCATGAAGAACCCTTAAATTTCTGAAACATTTCTCTGTTTTAAGGTTCTTTAAGCATTTGAAATGTCCTTCACACTGACAAATCTCTGTTCAAACGTGGTTCTTTAGGGAACCCAAAGTGGTTCTTCTATGGCATCGGTTAAAGAACCTCTTTGTGTCACCCATGGATGGATATACTTTGACTGGATTCTATATAAACTTTTCACTAAAGCGTAGAGTCCCTGCTTTCACTCTTCCCACGTAAAAAGCACATTTCTGTTTTACATTCATTCATTTCTTCAATCTTTGCCAAATAAACCGTCACGCTTGGCTTGGATGTTTTCATCGGCCCAAACAGCAAGAAGGTACTTGGTTTTGGAATTCCTTGTTTATCCTCTCACCTGCTACTCAGATGCATCTGCACTTACATCAGGCCATAAACACACCTCAAGCAAGTATGTGAACGCAGCGTTTTGAGCTGCACACCGTAAAATGTGTCGCATTGCAACTCATTATATAATGCAAGCTGCATTCTGTGAAATTGTATTTTACCAGAGAACTTTTAGAGAAGAGAATTACTACTCTGTAATGTCTTCCAGGGTTCTCAAACACTAGAGGGCACTCCTGAGCCCAAAATGAATGGGTTAAGATGGAGCATTTGAGCAAAATCATAGCTTATAAATGCTTAAACATTTTTCGAAATCATTCGGTATTTGTTGTGTTTCATTGCAGTAAGACCGACAAAATATACAGACAAATGATTCAATGGAATTTTTGGTACTTGCGAGTAAGTACATTATGCTTTTATTGCTAAATAGGTAAGGCTGAAATTATGTCCGTGAGTTCAATTATACAGGGTGAATCAAAAAGATTAATCCGGTTTCAAAGCGCCATACTTTTACAACCGTGAGGCGTCTAGGAACCAATCACAATCCAATTGAAAGAGGGGGTTCCATAGGTTTTCTGACTGTCACTGGAAGATGGCTCCCTTCAGGCTGTGAGGAGATGAGACCCCTGAGCAGAAAGTGTTCTGCGTTCTCCACTTCAATAAGACTGAATCCGTCATAACTGTGCAGCGTGATTTTCGTGGGTAGTGAAGCTCCAACAGCTCAGAGCGTTCGTCGCTGGTTCCACAACACTGGATGATCTCCGAAATCGCACTGAAAGAGCCGTGAGTGCAGCGACACCCAACATGCTCAATCCAGTATGGGATGAATTTGACTATGGTGTTAATGTTGTCTGTACAGCTGGAGGAGGTTCATATTGAGCACTTTTACAATTACATAATAAACTTTATGCTCATTTAAACCATTTACAGTTTACTGCATTGTTCTGTAATGATTTACAAGAGAAATAAATCATTTTGATCACCCTGTATTTCTCTAACAAACTAACATGGTGGTATATTGTCCAGTAAAGAGGAAAAAAATAAAAAACGATGAGTCTCCAACAGCATCAAGTGTTGTACTGTAGTTTTAGCTCATTAGCTCATCTGAGTCAGCCTCTGTTATGTCACTCATCCTACATGAAAAACTACCAATTTCCCACCTGCTATTTTTGAATAATTAAATGTTTTAAAATGTATTTTTGTGTAAAGCTACAATTTTGTGCAACATCAGTGCTGTGACCTAAAAAATAAACCTCAGTTCTACATTTATTTCAGATGAAATCTGTTTCTTCATTGTCATTTTTTTTTCACCCTGAAAAAAAATGACACCTCTCTGCGACTAACCAGACATCTTCATGAGCTCTTGCATGTCTGCTTCTCACCATCTCTGAATGTGGTCCGAATGATCCAGCTGTAATCCAATCACATTGTATCTCCTTGGACGTGTTTACCCCTGGCTTTTCTTGCGGTCGAGTGAAATCTAAACATGATTTAATCTCCGAAAAGGCATGTTAAAGGTGTAAACGGCCTCACGGGGTATAATATGAATCAGACCATTAATGCTTAAATACATAAATGCATACCTCAGGTCACCCTCTGTCCATCTTCCTTATTAGTTTTATTATATTGTTATTTTTCATAAAAAGTTTTTCATGGCATTTTGTATACATAATGTGTTAGACACTCTACATGTCCGAAAGTGTCCTGACACCTTTCTAATTAATTAATAAAAGTGCACATTACTCGTCTCCACAGCAGTGAAAATCCAACCCTTAAAGCACTGATTATCTCTTTAAGAAAGCGCCCCGTTGCATAATGTGGTTATTTTTAACAACAACCAGTGAAAGTCGGCAGTAAGGGGCACTAAGAACTTGCTAAATCAAGTTTTTGCTACTGTTAAAAAAACATGGCTTTATCAAAGCCTAATATGCAGGAGTCTGGGAGCGCTGTAATAATGCTGCTCTTTAGGCTACCTTGTGAGGAACTCTTAATAATAGATATGAAATATGAAACCTTTCTCTCTCGACAAAATGCTGAAAATTAAATTACGTTTGATTCATGTTCATGTTGCCCTTTTTTCCTTAATCTCCTGCCCCCAAAATGTCATTGTACAAGTCTTTGTGCTTTAGAACTAACCATTTAGCATTAGTACTGGACCTCTCTAAGGTCTGGGGCAGTTGTGAGCTGGAGGTTAGGGAACCAGCCTTATGGCTGGAAGGTCGACGGTTCGATCCCAAGCTGGCAGTACATGTCTGAAGTGCCCTTGAGCAGGGCACCTAACCCCCAACTGCTCCCCGGGTGCCGTGGATAGGGCTCCCCCGTGTGTGCTTGCTGCCCCGCAGTGTGTGTGTGTTCACTAGTGTGTATGTGGTGTTCCACTGCATGAATGGTTTAAATGCAGAGGTGAAATTTCCCCGTTGTGGGACTAATAAGGGTCACTTAATTTAATTCCCTTATGGCTGAATGCAATCAAATCCTCACAGCAATGTTCTGCCTGAGTAAAGCCTTCACAGAAGAGTAGAGGCTGTTTTTGCAGCAACAGGAGGACTCTCCCTATTAATACCCTGGATTTTAGAAGAAACACTGGATGAGCAGGTGTCTACAAACTTTTGGACATGTAGCACATAAGCACTGGGTGGCTAATAACCCGATGTGTGCAACCAGTGGTGAAACTCCTTCAGGATTAAAATGCTGCACCATTATTGATCTGTAATAGTGAAAGTCAAGCCAGAATACAGGCGTCAGTTGTGAAGAACGAGTGTAGCATATGTAGACTGAGAGTGGTTTTCTGGGTCGTACCATGAGCAGCTACAGCAGCAGCACCAGCAGAAGCAGCAGGCGTTGGGGCGTTGCGTGGGGGAGGAGTGCTGCGCCCGGCTCGGGGACGTCTCGCTCCGCGCCATCGGAGACTCGCGGTCTGCCGGGACAGGGCCTGTGTACTGAGACACACACAGTAAGCCACCTGGGCACCTTGCGCACACATACAAAGGCATTCAAATTTCCAAGTTTTTAATTTCCTTGATTTTTATTATTTTTACCTTTATTTTACACCTTTCAGAATAATAGTAAATACATATACAAATACAAAAATATAAAGAGTAATTAGCAATGAGCAAATCAGATTAGGTCTATTCCATAAAGCAGCTTCATGAGGAGCTTTTTCAACAGCCTTAAAGAAGTTCCACATATGCTGAGACCTTGCTGGCTGCTGACAACTACTTGTTGTGGTTGGCGTTTAAAAAAAAGTAGTCCTTTGCAAAAGTTCTCATTCTTTTATTCATTTTCCACTCAGAACAGCCGTTAAGTACAAATGATTCATTTTTCAGTGTCAGGAAAAATAACAGAAAACAAGTCTGAACAGAAAATTACACAAAACCTTGATAACTAAATATAATACAATAGTTACAGGGTTCAGTATTTAGCGTGTCCATCCTTTACTTTTATTACGGCTTCCATTCTTTTCTGCGGGAATATTTTTCTATGCATCTTGTAAATGTCTCCAAAGTTCAGTCTTAGAAGTTGGTTGCACTTTCTGTTTCTCGCAACCCAAACACATGCAGTGATGTTGAGATTTGTCTACTGTGTCAGTGTAGTTTTCTCACCGTGGAAGGATGGACAGAAACACCTGTAGATCCCTCAAAGATGAAAGCTTTAAGTACTCTTTATCTGATGGTGACAGTTTTGCTGGTCTACCAGATCTTGCATGGCTGTTAGGGGTCACTTTTTCTCTGTATCTTTTAATAATTTTTGAAACTCTTGTTTTTTTTTTTTACTTCTTTTCCTTTGACTTTACCTTATTGAAGTGGATTTTGCATATGAGGAACACCTTTGGCTGGGAGGACACAGCTGTAACTCATCGAAGAAAGGAACAGTTAAGTGATGGCAGGTTTCTTTTTCTGACTGAAAAATTAATAACCTGTACTTAATGGCTGTTTTGACTGGGAAATGAATAAACAAAATGGTGGTCTCTTACTTTTGCACAGTACTGTACACCGATCAGGCATAATACTACGCCCACCTCCTTGTTTCTACGCTCATTGTCCATTTTATCAGCTCCACTTACTATATAGGTGCACTTTGTAGTTCTACAGTTACAGACTGTAGTCCATCTGTTTCTCTGCATACTTTGTTAGCCCCCTTTTACCCTGTTCTTCAGTGGTCAGGACCCCCATGGACCCTCACAGAGCAGGTACTATTTGGGTGGTGGATCATTCTCAGCACTGCAGTAACACTGATGTGGTGGTGGTGTGTTAGTGTGTGTTGTGCTGGTCTGAGTGGATCAGACACAGCAGTGCTGCTGGAGTTTTTAAACACCTCAGTGTCACTGCTGGACTGAGAATAGTCCACCAACCAAAAATATCCAGCCAACAGTGTCCTGTGGGCATCATCCTGTGACCACTGGTGAAGGACTAGAGGATGACCAACACAAACTGTGCAGCAGCAGATGAGCTATCGTCTCTGACTTTACATCTACAAGGTGGACCAACAAGGTAGGACTGTCTAATAGAGTGGACAGTGAGTGGACACAGTGTCTAAAAACTCCAGCAGCATAAAATATGGACTATAGTCTGTAAATATATTAACTACAAAATGCACCTATATGGTAAGAAGAGTTGATTAAATGGACAATAAGTGTAGAAACAAGGAGATGTACTTAATGAAGTGGCTGGTCAGTGTACATACACACAGTCATATGCAAAAGTTTGAACACCCCATTATATGTAAGTTAGCACATCATCTAAAGCAAATTTAGCAAACTTTTTTTTTTGCTAAATTTAGTGCAGAATTCCTATTTATTTGAGTTTGTTTGACATTTTGGAAAAAAATAAACATAAAATATAAAATGTGCCTAAAATTGCAAGTTTTGTTAGCGAATACTAATCCACTACAGAGAACACACTTCTGCACATTTTAATGCACTGTTACTGTTAATTTGCTCAATTTAAAAAAATGGGAAAAAATAAAACTTTTAGTTGCAGCACATTTTATATTGTATGTTTTTAATTCAAAATTAAATCATGAATACATGTCAATATAAAGATTTTAGACCACCATGTATTTTAAATCATGAGCATCTATCAGGTGTAGGGGTGGGCGATATGGAATAAGATCGTATATCACGATACTTAACAACATTTTCATTACACATGATTCAAAACTGCCATCAAAACTATTAATACAATGACTATTATTCAACATTTCACATACCACGTTGCACCAAATTAAATTAAAAAGAACGACTTGTGCTGTCTTTGTAACGACACAGCGTTCTTTAAATAGCGACAATATACACAAGATACTCACTAAAGCATATCACGATAACAAAAACGATAATGATAAGGATAAAATATTGTCATATTGCCCACCCCCAATCGAGTGTGTCCAGAGTTTTGACTGCTACTGTACATGCACACAAACATATAATCTATCATGCATCTTTGCACTAAAATCGCCCACACAAAACAGCAAACTGCTGAGCTTGTACTTTAACATGCACACAAAACATGCGACCACAAGATATATATCTACTGTACATCAACACAGACACATAAAGCCCCGACCAGAAATGGCGGCGACTGTGTGTTGGTGCTGCAAGAATTAGAGCATCTGAACAACCACAGTGCTGCAAAAGCATATCGTGTATGAATGTTGTGCTTTTGGCCCCACAAACAGTCAACAATCAAAATCCCACTCATAGCAGGTCACCGGAGGAGGCTTTGATCAATCGCTTAACGTGAGACAATCTAATCTGCATCTGATCTTACCGGATGAACATTATAGGACACAACAGCGTGACGAGTTAATCTGGCCATGCACATAAAACATCAGCGCGAGGGCCACAGAAAGGAAAGGAAGTAGACAGTGTGATGCATCATGTGAATGTGCCATGAGGAGATAGCAGGGGCTTTGCCACGACACACACACCAGAATCTGAGATCACAATATTGTCTAATTATATCACAGCATCATGATATTCAATTTCGCATTAATACAGTCAGAAATGTACTAATTAAACCTCACAGCTGGTTTTTGACTGTAATCCTGTTTTTCCAGAAAGTTGACATACTATTTACTGAGTTATGTCATTTGAACTGTTTTTCTCAAAACAATGCAACGCAGTCAGCAAATGACACACACTCAGACTTGTGTAGTAATAAATACATGTAACAGTGTTACTAAGATTTTATTACAGTCATAGAAAAAAGAGACAGTGATCAGATTACATAGTGGTGTCTCTACATTACAGGCTGTGGAGCAGAGCGTGACATGATCAATAATTCAGTATAACAACTAATATATTTTTTCTTCATAACTAACGTTGCGTGTTTATTACATATGACAGTGGTAGGGCTGTCTGATACATTCCAAATATCTTCCTGTACCTGTTGTGTAAATGCCAGTAGGTTCCCTATTTCTCCTGGCAGTCTTGGTTTGGTGACCGTGGGGCCTGTCAGCGCTCGTCTAACCAAGTGAGCAGCTAAACACTCTGCGCATGTTTAACACACTTTCAATAACCAGTTGTGGGGACGATCACGTTGGCCCCATGCTCAGAGCAGCCAATAAAAAATAATAAATTTACATAAGTCCAGACGTTTAGTAAACGTCGTTTATGGTGTGGACGTTGCTACACAGCTAGCCATTGTTCCTCATCAGTTGTGGTAGCCACTCATAATAGCAAGGCAATATAATGAGTCGAGTTAAAAACGTAATAAAAGTTACATTTTGTACCAGCCATTAGAGCAGAAATTAGAGATTAGACATTTGAGACCAAACCAGCCACAGCATTTTAACATCTTTCAGTCTGGAAAGGACAAAAACTGCTCCTTCAGTCCAGAGAAGTTCAACAGAAAAACATGGCTAACTGTGAGTGTAGCTAAAACACTCTGCTGCTTTCCTTGCCTGCACTCGCTATGCTATCACTTGAATTCAGTCATGGATTGGTGGACTTCGAAAGAAAGGTTTTTGACATGTTTGCCCAGATAGAAGATCGTCATGCATCTTTACTTTTTGAGCAGTGACCATCTCTGGTGAGTCATTCTGCATTATTACAGGTCGTGTTATTCCTAATGCCCCGAAATCGTGTTTCCCTGCTCTCATATGTTGCTTTGGATGTGTATTTGAAGACCACAGTGATTGTTACTGCTAGATAACTTTGGATTTGTAATGTGATGCTGTATAACAAGGTATTGAGAGATCTAATGTTGTTATCATATCACTCACTCCTGCACCGCGTTACATTAATTTGTGAATTTGTGATTTAATTGATGAAGTGCGTTTGTGTTTGGATCAGGTTTCTGTGTAGGTTAATTGACGAGTTACTGCTGCCCCTACAGTTTATTGTGCCCCACCAGGCTTTCTGTGTCAGAGACGCCACTGAGATTACAGATACATCATAAAGATCAAGTGATTATTAACAGGGTTACATTCAAACCAATCTCGCACACCAAACACGACTATCTGGATGACAAAAATGGGACAATTGTTTTTATTTTTGTGAACTTTTTGCAACACAAACTCACTCCACCAATCTCTATCGTGTTGTCTCTGGCTGACGCAGCAACAACCAAGCTGACCAGATGGCTGCGTCTCAGCAACTTGTAATAAATGTCAAAAGTTTGTCTTTTGCTTTGCCACATATGGTGCTGCATTTCCGAAAGCAGCTCAAACAGCTCTACCGACATCTGAGCGATATGCAAAAAAACAAGTTTCAGCTCCTGAATGAAGCGTGAAACTCTCCGCGCTGCTTTCGCTACGGAAATCAGCCTAACTTTTCACGTGAGGAGCAAAGCATATCTTTGTCACCTGAACACATTTTGTGGTTTGCTGCCCTGTTTTTCATGACACGAACAACACAGCCAAAAACCACCACAAGTTTTTAAACTAGAAGTGCTACATTTAAAAACTGCAACAAAAACTGTATGATGATTTTTATTCAACA